TGGCTAATTTTTCTATTTTTAGTAGAGACCGGGTCTCACTCTTGCTCAGACTGGTCTCAAACTGGTGAGCTTGAGGGATCTTCCCACCTGAGCCTCCCAGAGTGCTAGGATTACAAGTGTGAGACTCCGAGCCCAGCCCCCGTCCCTTCATGCTCCACTCTGACAGCACTTCCTTCACCCGGCCTGGTCTCCACTCTTCTCCTTCCTCACCTTGTCCCTGCCAGAGCAAGTCACATTCACCTCTGTGTGCCTTCTGTGTCTCCCTCCCGGTAACTCTGTGGGTGTGAAAACTGTTCCCAGGGGTGTGAGAAGTCCCTTGAGTTCAAGAATTATGTCATGTTCACCAATGTCCATCCTCCCGCCATCAAGAGCCTTGAACACATCAAATGCTCACACATTTATTAAATGGCAGAATGATTAAAAGAGTGAAGACTGGGCGTCTAGACACTTGTTCCTCCCTCTCACAAGCTCACAGGCAGGGAGCACAGGGCATGAGAGCCCGCCCCCCCCCACCTCAACAGATGCATAGGCCCTAGGCAGGGCATGTTTGTTCAAATCCATTTCAAATTCCCATCTTGGTGTGAATAGAGGAACAGCGTGATGTACCAGGCTGAGCTGAGAGTGAAGCTGAGGATGCAGAGAGCTGGGGAGACATTCCCGTCAGTCGTCAGCACAGGGAGAACCGGGGTCAGGGAGGCCCGGAAGGAAAGGATATCTTTTCTTGCCCATGAAAGAAGCTTCTATAATCTTTGCCTTTGCTCTGTGGCGCCTAAGGCCTCATTGAACACTGCCCTGACCAGGCAGCTCCGGCATATTCATTGTTCACAAAGAGTCTCTCCTGGAAAACAGACCCACAGGAAGCCTGTCAACAAGGGGGAATGAGAGGAGGTACTGAGGCCCTGAGGCCCCCCAAGGCAGGGAGGGGGAACCATGACAACCCAGCAGGCTCCACTCTTTGGGGCATCTTTCCCCCACCGAGGAGCCCAAGACTCACCTGTGGTATTCACGGTAGTAGCTGTGGCCACACCGATACCTGCCAACGATCACACCAGCGACAAAGACAATCGCTAGCACCCCAATAACCACCAATTTAAAGACCTGGAAGCAGAGCAGAGGGGTGGAGATGGGAGGACCTGAGCACTCGACCAAGAGGCCTTGGTCTGAGCTCAAAGTGTGCTCCGGGAAGGACCATCTCTGGCTTGGAGTGATGAGGTTCCCTGTCCTCTCTCAGCCTCATGGGGAAAATATCCTGCCAACTGTCAGTGCCGACCAAGTGTGGCTATTTCGGCACCTCCCCTCAGCTCCCATAAGGGACAGGGTCCTCCTTTTTAGGAGGAGGACTTTAGTGACTGACAGGTCACTGCAGGTGGATCTGAAACCTGAGGTTGAGGTCTGGACTCACTGAGGGAAGCTATTCTGTGGAGGGGAAGACAGGAATGGGGATTTCAGGACAAACCCCAGAGAGAAAGCAAGATGGCTGCAGGGGAGGCTGGTCCTCAGCACAGGGCAGAGGTGCAGCCTGCAGGGGAAGGGCTCCTGCTCCCAGTTAAGGCCTCACAAAGTGGCACTGTCTCCCCGCAGGGATCAGTGGTTTGCTGGGCTCTGATGGGAACTCTGACCCCTCCCTCTGAGCCTTTGGAACTTCTTGGCTGTGACAGTGGAGGGAGCAGTGGAGCTGTCCCTGTAGCTTGGGTAAAAAAGTCAGTAAAACGGTCCCTGAATTGAACTAATTCAGCAGCACAGGGAGTGAGGAGGGGAGACGCAGGCCCTCTGTTTGCTGTTCCCTGAGAACACCCAGGGTGTGGGGTCTCCCAGAGAACCAGGGAGGAGAGTTTCAAGAGAGTCCATTTTCATCTGAGGAATGAACAGAAGACCACAGCTGCCATTTGGGTGCCAGTTATGTGACATGATAGACATGATAGTATTAATCGTAAGACAGTAATCAATAAGGTGTGTGGCACCCAGGAGGTAACAAAGACAAGTTTCCCAATTCCCATGTTTAAAAGTGGCCTCCTGGGTGGCCATCCGCTCAGAGAGTTGTCCTTTTGCAGAGGCCTCTCCTGAGCCCTTTCCTTCTCCTCCCCCTCACTTCAGCAGGCAGCTGTTACACCTCCACTGGGTACAAGTGGCTGAGACAAGCCCCTGACAGCACAGGCTAGGAAGGGGCAGACCCAGAGGCAGCCAGGATCATTCACATCATAAAAGAGCAAAAAAAAAGAGCCCGGGGGGTGCTGAGGGGACAGGGGTTTGATCCTCACTAGGGGACTTAGGGGAGGGGTAGGGACCACCTCCCAGGCAAAGGGAAGGCAGGATGGAGGGGTCTGAGCCTGGAACCCAGGAGCTCATGGTGGAGGCTGGTGCCTCTGCATTAGCTGTGCTGACCCCTTTCCATCTTTTTTTGTTAAGAATTTCTTTTATACATAGAACCTTCCAAGGAAAAACTGTCCCTCAAGCAGCTGAGATTGTTGTTATTTGAGGAAAAATAATCCAAGCTGTGGAACCCCTGAAGCCCCTGCATTCAGGGATCATTGTGGGCAAAGCTCAGGCTCAGTCTGGCTCAGAGGGGCAGCTGCCGGTCTGTACAGCTGGGGTCTGGGGTGGGGCATTTCAGGATTTAGAACGCTGACCTTAGATGCACCTCATAAGGCAGGACAAATGCCAGGGAGGAAAGAGGAGAAAGAAGTGTTTGGGGCTGAGGAGGACAGAGCCCAGTCAGCAGCAGAAGTAGGGAGGGATCTGGGCAGAGGATCGCCCCCCCCCCCAGATAAACACCCTCCACCCCCACCCCTGCGCCCTCACCCCGGCTCCTCCCCCAGCTGCCTCCCGTGAGCAGGTCTCCAGTTTGGGCAGACCCAGCCCTGGGGACCCCTCAATCTCCCTCCCACACTGTGGTCCTGGGCTCCCCTCACCGTGCGAGATACAGAGAGGATCTGGACTCTGCCCAGAGACCTCCTGAGCCAGCAGGACAAAGGATTTTAAAAGACAAACAGTTCTCCAGGCCGGCCCTAAAGATGAGCCTGGGGCTCAGTGTTCCCAAGACGGGGATCCCAGATTGAGGCCTCCCTAGGGGACAGCTGCCCACCCTCCGTAGTGCCAGCAGCAGAATATTCCAGGGGCCTTACCGCAGCCATCTTGAGGCCAGGGGGCTCTGGGTCTGCTTCTGCTGTTTAAGGAACAAACACCTTTTATACAGGCACCAGAGTTCAGCTTTCACTTTTACTTTCTGACACTACAGTCCTCAAAGTCAAAACCCACTTAACTGAGGTGACTATTTAAGCACTAGGAATTTTCAGTAATTGCAAAGGCTAAGGATTTTCTTTTTTAATTTATTTTTATTTTATTTGTTGTAGTTTTTGGACAGGACTGGCTTTGAATCCATCATCTCTGGTATAAGGAGCTGGTGCCTATTCCTTTAAGCCACAGGCACCGCCCTCTTTTTTTTTTTTTTTTTTTTTTTTTTTTAGCACAGGATTCTCACTTTGTCAAACTTGGTGGTAGAGTGCTTTGGTGTCATAGCTCACAGCAACCTCCAACTCCTGGACTTAGGTGATTCTCTTGCCTCAGCCTCCCGAGTAGCTGTGACTACAGGCATCTCCGAAAGGCCCGGCTATTTTTTGGTTGCAGGAAAAAACAAAGTGCAGGAGTAACAATACCTTCATCACATAAAACAGACTTTAAGTCAAAACAGTTCAAGTCAAAAACAGTTGAAAACACACACAGGAAGGTCATTGTGTAATGATGAAGGCATCAGTTCACCAAGAGGACCTAACCATCCTAACTGTAAATACACCCAACATCAGAGGACCCAGACTCAGGGGACAGACATCACCAGACGTAAAGTCAGGACAATGGAGTCACAGACTGGGAGGGCTGGGGGATGATGGACAGTTGCCTGGTGTGCACAGTGTGGCGGCTGTAGTGACAGAGGCACTGAGGGCCCTGACTTCACCACATTGCAGCAGATCAAGGCAGCAACATTACATTGTGCCCCACATTCTAATAAAAAGAAAAAAAGAAAAAATGTATAAGTGACATAAAAACAAAGCATCAAGATTTTCTTGTAGAAAATCGTTAGCCTTGGATGGTGCCTGTGGCTCAGTGGGTAGGACGCCGGCCCCATATTCTAAGGGTGGAGGGTTCAAACCTGGCCCCTGCCAAATTGCAACCAAAAAATAGCTGGGTAGCAGACACCTGTAGTCTCAGCTACTCGGGAAGCTGAGACAAGATAATTGCCTAAGCCCAGGAGTTGGAGGTTGCTGTGAGCTATGACAACAAAGCACTCTACCACAGAGGGTGACAAAGTGAGACTCTGTCTCTAAAAAAAAAAAAAAAGAGGGCAACGCCTGTGGCTTAGAGGAGTAGGCGCCAGCCCCATATACCGGAGATGGCGGGTTCTGGCCAAAAACTGCAAAATAATAAATAAATAAATAAATAAATAAATAAATATAAATTTAAAAAAAAAAGAAAAAGAAAATTCTTAGCCTTTGCAATTACTGACAATTCCTAGTGCTTAAATAGTCACGTCAGTTAAGTGGGTTTTGACTTTGAGGACTGTAGTGTCAGAAAGTAAAAGTGAAAGCTGAACTCTGGTGCCTGTATAAAAGGTGTTTGTTCCTTAAACAGCAGAAGCAGACCCAGAGCCCCCTGGCCTCAAGATGGCTGCGGTAAGGCCCCTGGAATATTCTGCTGCTGGCACTACGGAGGGTGGGCAGCTGTCCCCTAGGGAGGCCTCAATCTGGGATCCCCGTCTTGGGAACACTGAGCCCCAGGCTCATCTTTAGG